GTACTTGTACTTTCTTCATCTCCCATATTGTCAATTTTCATTCCATTTTCAGCCAATAATATACATGTGCTTTTTAAACCCAATTGTACATGTCGCATGGTTATTTTTTTAATGAATATAAGAATATGTACGTGTACTGTATGTTTGACGTACAGCCATCCAGCATTTTATGGGAAAAGCTTTCAGCCTAATTGTTTGTACATGCAAAATCCGGTGAAAAGGTGTGGGCGGCCAAACAATTCAAGTGTTCATTTTCAACAACTTATGTGCACAAATTACATGTACAATGTTAAAACTGACCCACACTGCATTTGTGTGAAAGCTACAAATCTTGCGTCCAGAAGAATGTTATGATATGTCAGATGATCAAGACATGATTTCAAGCTGTAATAAACCTTTTCGGAAAAACAAACTCAGGTAAAGCTTGAAACCAGGAAAAAAAGACAGCAGGACAAGTGTTGCAGAAGGATTTAAGCGTAGGACAGAACTGGAAAAAGGGGGGAGAAAGAAGCTTCCAATCTAACACGAGGGTGTCACCTCTTGATACCAGGGAACTCTGATAACTGAAGAAAAAAAGACAGCCAAAGTTGACATCCGCACCTCTCTCTTCCCTTGTTCAACTCATACTCCTCCCCCTACCTTGTCAATTTGTGATACAACCTGCCGGAAGTGAGCTGATGAATCAGTTGTTACAGTCCTAACTGAGGAGCTAATCTCAGCTGTCAAGATTACTGTAGAGCCAACCATGCCAGGGATCAGCAAGTTAACTCAAGGCCGTTATCTTGCCCACTCCACAACCTTCCCCCCCCCAACAACCACAACATGCAAAGACTCCAACCGGACAAGTTCACAATGGATGACATTTACGCAGTGCCGCCATCTCTGCAGCGGCACAGCTCATGAAATGACTCACTATTGTGCAGGTACCTGCAGACTCCAAAAGCAAGCTAACGCGGACATGTCTGTGCGCAGCCTGCTATTGAGGAGTGTCTAACAGAATGACTGCATGTGCATTTATATAAACATGTATCATACATGTACATGTACACACTCGCGAAGGAAAGGACAGCAGCCACATAATGAACTGGTCAGCCTGTCTGCAGTGAAGACAAAACGTGATTCACGTATTCCTCGTGAAACACTTACTGTACTACTGCCAAATCTTTGATATGTGGGTCTCATGTACCATGAATTCCGTACATTGCTTGCACTGTTACGTTATTTTCCTGAGGGCAGCTGTTTGTTTTTTTAAAGTGTAAAATTCAGTGGTTCACTTCGTGCCAAAATTCTGGCTTTCGAAAATAAATAAGTATCACCTTCATAATGACAGCGAGAAAAGAGATTACCATAAATGTGCTCTCGGGATACTAGGCAACTAACAAATAAATGTTGTAACACGCGTGTATGTCAGACGCCATGTGAAAAAAATAAAACCATTCCAACTAAGATCGCTTTGAGGGGTTGATGGTGATACTCGATTGTCTGTCAGCCATCATTCATCACATGAAAATATCTTCACAAATGCACTGTAGCTGTCCAATACCCTTACCAAATGTTACCAAGTAACACAATTACCGTTTCATTCTATGGACGTTTCACAACAGTGCGCCGCCAAAAGTTTGCGATGCAGTGGCCACTGTGTGCCATGCGCGTTTGAATGGATTGAC